TTTCTATTGTTATTAGTTTTGTTATTAACTTTTATATTTATTATTAAATGGAACAAAAGTGAAAGTGTTTGATATACAAGAGTTTCTTAGTTTCTGAAGTTATATAAGAAATTGGTTGGTATTTTGTTATTTATATAATTATATGATTTGTTTATTAATTGGTAATAAAGATATTACAATGTACCGATAATTGTGTAATTGTGTAAATGTTTCGTTATAGTTTTCGTGCATTACGTGGGCGAGGTTTTATTTCCTACATTTGTTTTTATTCATTATTTACTATTTGTTGAGATTTTGTTGTTAATGTTAAAATGCTTATATAAGGATGCGATATTAAGCTCTATTTTCTTGTTACTTTACTGAACAGTCTGGAGAAGTGATTTCAGTATGTTCTGTTTTTTGTTAGTGAGATTCTAGGGAAAATTTACTAGGAACATTAAGGCTGTAGTAGCGCCATAAGGTTGTGGTAAGGAGCGGCTATTTTGTAGAAATCTTTAAATAATTTTAAGCGGTATATTCTTTTATTAAATGTATAGGAAGGGTTTGTTTGTGCTGTCTCCTGATACAGTCAGTCATAAGTAATTAAAATTTTTTGAAAAATTTACATTAGACATGACCAGAGGTACTCTCGGCGCTGGGACGTGACACAACACGTCTCATTCACATACTAGATTTGTTCATCAAGTTTCTGCTCAACAAGAGGACGACATCAAGGAATTACTCACCAAGTTTTGGGTTCAGGAAGAGTTATCTATCGACAATCACTCTCAGCTATCATCTGAAGAGGAGAAATGCGAGACTCATTTTCGTACTACTCATTCAAGAGACTCATCTGGACGATACATAGTGCGGAGACGATCATGGGAGCATGACCTTGTCACATGATGTTTCGGCATCAGAAAGGTCTTGGGTGGCTTTTCGTCGAAGTGCTCTTCTCCTCATCTTCCTTATTACTTTCCTCATCATAAAGTATTTAAGGCCGATAAGTTCAATCACTAAGCTTCGAATTGTGTTCAACGGTTCAAGTCCTACATCATCAATGACATCATGCATAGGGCAAATCTGCTGCTTAATATTATGGACATTCTCATCTGAATTCGCCATCATCGGAATATATTCGCCACAGACATCACTAAGATGTATCGACAAGTGAGAGTTCATCCAGAAGATTGGGACTTTCAACATATCCTCTGGATAGATGAGCTGGAGAGATCAGCTCAATGAAGTCTCGTTCCAGTCTCACTATGGTTATGTACGGAACAAAGCTCCATTCTTAACGACTCCGACTCTTCTTCAACTGAACTTGAAGATGAACTTGAAAATGAAGAACATTTTTACCCGCTTGCTATACCATCATTCACCTATGGTCGATACATGATGATATCTTCGGAGGTGCAGATACAATTGACCAACTCATCTCCATTGCTCAACAAGTCATAGGCTTGTGCAACGCGGGTGGTTTTCCACTCGCAAAATGGCATGCGACAAATCAAAAGTTACTATCAGCAGTCTCATCCAATAGTTCATCAAAGTTAACACTAACTCTTGATGACTGTGCAACTAAATTACTTGGATTAAGTTGGCTTCCTCAAGAAGATAAGTTCATCTTCTCATCCAAGTTCAGTGATCAGTTAAGTAAACTCATTGAAACGCCTCATGTTATCTGAAATGGCACAGATATTCGCTCGATTTTCTTTCTCCGGTCATCATCAAGGCAAAGATGCTCTTGCAAGAGCTCTGATTGCATAATCTGGGCTGGGACAATCCATTATCAGCCCTTCTCAGCTCTAAATGATCGACAATAAAGACCGAGCTCAGATCGCTAGCTAGCATCTCGGTTCCATGATGGTTTGGTACATGGAGCTACTCAAGAGTGGAACTTGATGGTTTTTCAGATGCATCTCAACTTGCCATGGTAATAGTCATTTATTGACTGTCAACTCACCGTCCACTTGACTTTATGACGCCACTTGTATGCTCAAGGACTAAGGTTATTCCACTCAAGAAACTAACCATTCCCAGATTAGAACTCATTACTTCTCGCGAAACTCATGTCTCATGTTCAAGCAAACTTAAACTCAAAGTGGATTCAATTCATTTGTGGACGGATTCTCAAGTCAATCTCATGGATCAAATCTTATGCATCTCGTTGGAAGGATTATGTCAGGAACAGAGTGGCCCAAATCCAACAATTGTCAACAAATGCCAGCGGAACGTTCCTGGCTCTATGAAGCCAGCAGACTGCGCTTCTCGAAGTGTTTCGACTGATCAACGACTCATCGCTCATCCATTATGGTGGACCGGACCTCAATGACTTACTCAGTCTCAAAAGGTCTGGCCAGCTCAGCCAGAACTTTCTCCAGGGTTCATTAACATGGAGGCTCGTCCTGGAGTGACATTGCTTGCTGCTCTAGCACCAGCACATCATTGGACTTAGTGTACAGGTACTCATCATTCAATAAATTGCTTAGAATCACAGTACTTTGTTCCAGGCTCATGTGCAGGCTCAAGCAAAAGCTCAACTCTCCTCCAACTATTATCATTCCCACACAAGATATTGAAGCTAAGCTCTGCTGGATCAAGGCAGCAACTCAAGCAGCATACTTCTCTCATGAAATCAAGATGCTTAACCGCGGATCTCAATTGTCATCCGCTCATGCCTTCTCCAAATTAATATTCATCGATGAACAGGGCATCATTCGGGTTGGAGGAAGATTCAACGAACTCTCAATTAACTATCAAGAAAGACATCCAGCAATTCTGCCACGTTACTCTTAGCTCTCATCTCTCATCATCGATGATGCTTACAAGGCTACTCTCCATGGTGGCACTCAACTGACGCTTGCTAAAATCCGTCTGACCTACTGGATAATTGGTGGGAGAGCTCCAGTCAAATCTCATATACTCAAATGTATGATCTGCGCTCGACAACGAGGAATTCGTGCATGTCAGCTCATGAATCAGTTCCCTCTCGCACGAATGACTCTCTGCTTTTTTGTACACTGGAGTAGACTACGCAGGACCAGTGCAGCTCAACGCGTGGAAAGATCGAGGCTCTAAAATACACAAGAGTTAGATCTGTGTGTTTGTGTGTCTCGCAACGTCTGCGACTCATCTAGAAGTCATCAACGACTACTCGACGGAGAATTTTTTAACTGCATACAGAAGATTTGTCTCAAAAAGAGAAGCAGCTCATACTTTCTATTCGAATTGCAGAACCAACTTCATAAGAGCAGACACGGTTCTCAAGAAACTTTTCATCGACAGCTCTGCAGAACACAAGGTCATAACTTCATCTATCTCAACAGGCGGTACCAATTGGAAGTTCAACGCTCCAGCATCGCCACATATGAATGGCAAGTGAGAAGCTGTTGTGAAATCTATCAAATTCCACCTTCGACGAACAATTGGAGATACTCTGCTCACCTATGCTCACCTATGTTCTCAACGTTTCTCACTCAAGTAGAAGCGGTTCTCGACCGTTCGAACCGCTCAGTGATGACTCTGAAGACGTCTCTACTCTAACTCCAGGTCATTTTCTCATTTAAGCATCTCTCAACTCGGTTCCAGAAACCATCTTTACTACTTACTGATCTCTCCTCTTCAAGACTATCTAGGAGACAACTCATTCAACAACGGGTTCAACAATTCTGATTTCAATAGTCAATACACTATCAGCGGCGGCAACAATCCATCTTTAAGTGGCATCACCCATCCAACATCAAAGTTGAATACTTTCTACTTACGATGAGAGACTATCACCAAGCAAGTGGCCTCTAGCAAGGAGTCTAAAGTTGTACCCAGGAAAAGATGGACTCATCAGGATTGTCACACTCAAGACACCACAACACTCACTCAACTCATCGCCAAGCTCGCATCTCTGCTAATTTATTCTGAAGATCAACATCAGCAAAAACTTGCTGATGGTGGGCGAAATGTTCGAAAATGAGTTTAGATTCGAAGAAGGTTGCGCGGGAGGTCTCATTATCAGATGGCAGCACCGCGCCGATACACGCATTATGCATGAACGCGCAAGGTAGTCGCCTGAGGCGCTTCCAGCACTTCTCTTGTGCACTTATTATATCACTCTCGTTACGGCTATCTTGTGTAATGCTCGTCGCTCAAGATTGTGCTCGTTTCGATGAATGAACCGACACTGCTCTACTATCAGCCCTCATCAGGATTGAAGTGTCGAGATCATTGTGCTGCCGTACATTGAAAGAATACAGCATCACGCCGCGCTCGTGCTTACCACATGGTGTTCACGTGGCCGTGCAATCGTAATCTCGCGCCTCTCCTTTTAATCAGCTCACTTGGAGAAAATTCTCTCCAAGGTTTTAATACAGTGTTCAGCTCAGACTTGTCATTGTGTCAGCTTGATCTTCGTTCAGCATGTGACGCGTAAAAAACTAATAATGGAGACACTCAAGATGGTTATAGTAAGATCTGTGACATAAACTAAGTGAATCGCGGCATAGACTCTATAGTCTTCCTATGAACCTTTTTTCGCTTGCAATCCCAGCGTTTTTGTGACAATTTAGCTAATTCGCAAACAATTACGTTTACAGAATAAAATAATTAATAACTAATAAAATAATTTTATAATAAAACATGTGTTTCTATGTTTACATATAAATATATAACCATATAAATATATAATTCAACTTTATAACACGAAACACAAAAAATATTTCAATATAACTGTATCATATATATATATATATAAACTTTTTTATTTTTTTTATTTACATAGAAATCCTTTTCTTTTGCATCTGTAAATAAAAACATTACACACTATACATTTTAACATTACACATTGCATCTACTTTTTTCAAAAAAAAATTGATTTTTT